CTATTTTGCACCCTAGGCAAGGCTAACTATTTGCATCCCCAATGTTTTTCTAACTTCAATTTTCAAAAACAGATGTCTTATAGAAATGATAAAGTTCTTCAAAAGTAACATATTATCAGGAATTTATAATATGTAACAAGAATTAATCTGTATAAAGCTGTGCCCCTCAAAGGTCAGTACTGCACCCCTCTGCGGTTTCCGCCCAAGATGGCTGACTCGCCAGCCTAATGAGAGCAACGTCCCTGCCTGCTGTAGTGCAAAATCACAGGGTATGGACTGAAGGTACACAAGGCCACCATATTGTTAAAGCTAAGCATGTCTTCTTATGGCCTGGATAGGTGACTTCCTGGAGACCACATCTATGCCACTTTCGGTTCCAAGATGGAACAAAGGCATGCTATAATTATAAGATAATGAAGACGTATAATAACATCACTCACAACTTTATTTGGGGGTGGTTTTGTTTCAACTCAAAGAAGGAGGAAGTCTCATGTTACTTTCCTCCAAGAGTGGGAAGGTATTTGCTCTTCACCATGTGGCTTGTTTTGGCTAACTGGCATGGGGTAGAACGTTAGCCCCTCTTCTGACTCGTCCTCCTTCTTTGTAGTGGCATCTTGCCCTCCTACCCTTGTGTAGTAGGGGCTTATCCAGATGCCATTCACAGTTAAGTAGGAATTTGGGGGGAGAAGCCTGATTGGCTTTTGATAAATTCTATTTTCATCCCACCCATATTCAAAAATTGTTATGCTTCAGTGCAGTTCCAGATTACTTTCACATTGTGAGCTGCTCTGCCCCCATTCCGAAACCTCACACTATCCCTGATTCAAACCCATCAGCTTTAATGAAGTCCCCAGAAGTGGCTATTGGCTTGACAAGTCATTCCATCCTCCTCCATCTGAAAAAAAGCTGCATTGGAAAAACCACATGCAACACCCATTGTACAGAACTCCAATTAAAATTCTCAGATTCAGGAAGCACTTTTGTGTATATTGGTTGGGGGGGGGGGAGTTGCCCAAAATCTAAACACTTTTCTTCTTTCTTTCCAGTGCTTTCAATGCTTTATATTTCAACCCAGTTCACGTAGGCAGCTCTTTCATAGGAGACAGTGGAATTTATTCCGAATTCACTGCTATGTATCAAAGAGTACAATTTAGGCCTGTGATGACCGCAGTGACCTTGAGCTTAGACTTGGATTTTCCTACCCCAGTGCTCTCATTTCAGCCTTTTCCTTGCCTTTGCTTTTAAGGGATGTGGTGGCTGCTACACTCTGTGGGCTGCTTTGTGTATGTATTTAATATCGTTGTGAAAAGAAAGAGAAAGAAGTGCTTCAGAAAATACCCAAAGATGGTTCCGAACTTGACATGTGGCCATCCAACCAAATCCCTAGGTGGATTGAAAAGATGGCATTCCTCTTTTTTTAAAAAAACTTTTATTAAAAACAACATGCTGCATAGTTGGTGATGGGGAGGAATCTAAATGCTTGCATAAAAGGACTAGAAAGTTGAAATGGTGGGGAAGGGAGTTGCAAACTATCTATATGCAAAAATGTGTCCCTTTGCAAGGTCACACTCGTTTATCAGGTTTATTAACCTAGAATAAAGAAAAGCGATGACAAACTTAAACAGCATCTTAAAAAGCAGAGACATCACCTTGCCAACAAAGGTCCCTATAGTTAAAGCTATGTTTTTCCCAGTAGTGATGTACGGAAGTGAGAGCTGGACCATAAAGAAGGCTGATCGCCGAAGAATTGATGCTTTTGAATTATGGTGCTGGAAGAGACTCTTGAGAGTCCCATGGACTGCAAGAAGATCAAACCTATCCATTCTTAAGGAAATCAGCCCTGAGTGCTCACTGGAAGGACAGATCGTGAAGCTGAGGCTCCAATACTTTGGCCACCTCCCTGGAAAAGACCCTGATGTTGGGAAAGATGGAGGGCACAAGGAGAAGGGGACGACAGAGGATGAGATGGTTGGATAGTGTTCTCGAAGCTACCAGCATGAGTCTGACCAAACTGCGGGAGGCAGTGGAAGACAGGAGTGCCTGGCGTGCTCTGGTCCATGGGTCACGAAGAGTTGGACAAGACTAAACGACTAAACAACAACAAAACCTAGAATAAATATATGGCAGCGCCCACAATTCTGGATTAAAAGAATAGAGTTGTGTGCAAAATGTTAGATCTTTACCATCTTCTGCATTGTATGTCAGCTGTCTATTCTTGGTGAACATTTCTAGAGATCAACATTTCTGGTGAATCTGATGTGGCAAACCTGTGGCCCTCCAGATGTTGTTGGATTAAAAGTCCCTTCATCCCTGATCCTTGACTGGAGCTGATGAAAGTTGGAGTTCACCAACATCTGCAGGGCCACAGTTCTCTACCTCTGCTATAGACACTTGAGGGTATTTCCTGGTTCAAATCCAGGGGTGGTTCCCCTGTGGATTTGTTGGATCTAGTTGTTTTTGGACTCTGGCTCTCTTCATCTCTGACCATTGGCCATACTGGCTGCGGCCTATAGGAGTTGCAGTCTGCTAACATATGGAGGGCTACAGCTTCCTAGCACCTGAACCAGGCATTGAAGCCATCCAAAGCATGGGTAGGCAAACTAAGGCCTGGGGGCCGGATCTGGCCCAATTGCCTTCTGAATCCGGCCCGCGGACAGTCCAGGAATCAGCATGTTTTTACATGAGTAGAATGTGTCCTTTTATTTAAAATGCATCTCTGGGTTATTTGTGGGGCACAGGAATTCATTCTTTTTCTCTCTCCAAAATATAGTCCGGCCTCCCACAAGGTCTGAGGGACAGTGGACCGGCCCCCTGCTGAAAAAGTTTGCTGACCCTTGATCCAAAGGAACTGATCAGCTATGAGTACAAGACAAACAAATAGGGAGCTCTGTTGTTCAACACAGAAGAATGAACTCATGTGATTCATGGCCACAGCATGTTGTGAAATAATTAGACCAATCATGGAGGACAGGTCTGCCAATAGTTATTATGCACACACTAGCTAAGAGTGGCCTTGCAGACACTGCTGGGCTACAACTTCCCTAATACCAGATGACTGATCATGCTAACTAAGGCTGAGGGGAGATGGAGTTCAGCAACATCAAGAGCACACAAGGTTATACACCCCTGATTTAATTAGGGGTCTTATTGTATTGTTATGCAGTGTTCTTTTCCCCCTGTTGCCTATATTTTTTAAGTAAAATGAAGAGGGAAAAGGAGAGGGAAGAAATTGGTGGGATTGCTGCTCTGGAAGATCTTAAAACCACAGGCATGAACATCACCACAAGACAATGAGCCAACGTTTAACAGGCGCGCAAGTGTTAATCAGTCCTTGGTCTTCCAATCTTCTTGACTTGTCCGCCTTACTAGTTGATTTCACTTCATGTGATCCTGTTAACATCTCTGCACTTGACTTAAAATCAATCATTTCTGTGCATCTTCAGCTGATACAAAATGCTCCAATTTAAATGCATTCCTCTCACTTTTGGAAGCGGATCCATAATGCAGAGCTGAATCTCAGTGTCTCCCCAGCCCACTCCATCCTCCCTAACTTATATTTCACTCAACAATTCATAAAAAAACAAACTGCCCTTTAAAACTACAATCACTCATATATTTCAACAATGTGTTCAGTTTCTACATTTGAGTAATTATACTTCAAAAAGCAAAGCTCTTATCAAATAGCTACTAACGTGCGACATCCATCTTAAAACCAGTTTGCTGCAAATTAATTTTTCTCTTTCCCCAAACCTGCAGTTCATAGTGACTAATTTCAATGATATTTTCTCTGCAATTCATATTTTGCTAAAACTTAAAATGACAAGTAAAGGCTGAGCATTCCATTTATTTTCCCTCTTCAATTAATAGAGCAATTAAAATAAAGGGTGTAAATGCAGCTTAATTGGGTTGCCATGGCCACTAATTGCCTGATTTCTTTCCAAATAGTGTGTTTTAGGTGGAATCAATCTGCAGTAATTTAATTTCAGGCATCATGATGTATATAAACAGGTTACGGCAGATGGAAAGACAACTCCTAACTGAATTATTAGGCAGCACTTTTTAGTTATTTTGCTTGCATCTTCCTCATATCACCTGTCATTTTCTCTGCATCAAACATGGAGACTGGAAATGAAGATTCACAGAGCTCCAGGAGGGTAATTAAGCTCACCTCTATTTGTTTATCTGCAGCATAGATAGATAGATAGATAGATAGATTAGATAGCATTATCTTCTTAGCTGATCTCTGACCATCCAGAAGGTAAGGTGAAGAAGCCAATTCATGTTCTCCTTTGTAGGCATGAGAGAGTGGGCTTCCATGTCAGTTTAAATAGCCTCCCCCACGCAAGTCCATGGCATACACCAATGTGAGGAACCTTTTTCAGTTTGAGGGCCACATTCTCTTCTGAACAACATTCTGGGGGCCACATGCCACTAGTGGGTGGGCCAGAGGTAGAAGTGACAGAGCAAAATTGTACAGTAGGCTGATTTCTACACACACTCACACAGCCTTCTATGTCCCTCCATCCCGACAAGCAAGGGGCAGTATCAGAGTTCAAGAGAACATTCCAGCCAGGCAAATGAACATGAGAAGGGTGTAGGGTGGGGCTGGTGAGAGGTGTGGCCTAGGGAGAGTTCTGAGAGCCAGGTGTGGAGTCCTGGATGGCCACATTTGGCCCCCAGGCCTGAGGCTCTCTAACCCTGTCATAAACCAAATAGCCCCCAATGCTGTGGTCAATGGAAAAGTGTGTGCCTGTGTATTCTCTGCAAATGGAGATTTAGACAAGCCCACAAATGTCATTAGCCTGCTGGCAGGGCAGGGACAGAAAGCTCTGCCCTTCCAACAGCAGCCCTCTGTACTTCTCTAATGCATGCAAAGGAGGGAGCTATCTTCACACCCACCTGCACAGAATTCCTAGTCGCCTATGACTACCATAGGCACTTAAATGCAAACCCGCTTTAGTTTGCAGCCACACTCTGCACAGATGTAATCTTAAAAGAGAAGGGTTGTAGCTCAGTGGTAGAGCATGTGCTTTGTATGCAGAAGGTCCCTGGTCTCAGGCATCCCCAGGTAGGACTGGGAGAATCCCTTGAGTCTGAGACCCTGGAGAGCTGCTGCTGTGGATGATACAGAGCTGGATAGACCAGAAGTCCAACACTCAGTACAAGACAGCATCCTATGTTCTTATTCCCCCAGCCCACATTGGTAAATTGGGAAGTTTGCGCAACTTTTCTCCTCTTTAAACAAGCCTTCAGTTGATTTATCATATGAGTTCTAGTCAATTCGTCTTATCAGTGACATTTGCATATATTTGCAAATGGGTAAGCATACTTCTGGAGTAAGATGCATAGCATCTTTGTTTGCGGATGATACATGCGTGTGTCACAGCAAGCATCATCTTGGAAGAGGCATTCCATCCTGTGTGACAGAAAGTGGGGGTGGATGGGGAGAGAATACCTGCAGTGTGACAAATAACTTGCAAAAAAGAAATAAATATAAATCTGCTGCCTGGTAACTTCAAACACATGTTAAGTAAACTAAAAGCCTTTAACTGATAAACTGCTTCAGCAGTGTGAAATTTGAAATCTTATTTAAGTTCAAAGCAATACCTTTAAAAAAATAATGCACAAAAGGAAGAAGGGTCATAGCTCAGTGGTGGAACATCTGCTTTGTATGCATAAGGTCCTTAGAATCCACAGGCAGGGCTGGAAAACTAACCCCTACCTGAAATTCTGGAGGGCTGTTCCCAGTCAGTGTGCAGGCAACACTAACCTAGATGAACCAATGACTTAATTCAATATGGCAGAATCCTATATTCCTCTGATATTTTGCTTTTCTGTCATCTATCTATCTATCTATCTATCATCTATCTATCTATCATCTATCTATCTATCTATCTATCTATCTATCTATCTATCTATCTATCTATCATCTATCTATCTATCTATCATCTATCTATCTATCTATCATCTATCTATCTATCTATCTATCTATCATCTATCATCTATCTATCTATCTATCTATCTATCTATCTATCTATCTATCTATCTATCATCTATCTATCTATCATCTATCATCTATCTATCTATCTATCTATCTATCTATCTATCTATCATCTATCATCTATCTATCTATCTATCTATCTATCTATCTATCTATCACCTGCAGTTGTGCTCAGGCTGCAATCTTATGGTTCCCAGGAGGACATGTCTGGGTCAGTAGGATCTTGTCCTTCATAGATGGAGTAGTTTGTCCCCCTTGCATCTGTGGTGTCCCTGCTCCACTTTCAGTGCACTGATGATGGAGAGGACAAAATGAGGCATGTCTGGGGCACACCAGGGCAGATCAGTGGAGGTTTTTGATTTGCTAGTTCCAAACATGCCACCAGAATGGGGGGGGGGGGGAGAGAAGTATGGCAATTTTGGAGGGAGGGGGAAATCATAAAATCATCTTGGGGACTGAAAAAATAAAGAAAGGCCACCACTGCCTTCACCTTGGTGATGGCCACTAACTTGGATGATTTTAACAGAAGATTAGACAAATTCACGAGGGATAAGGCTTTCAGTGGCTATGAGCCACGATGACTAGGGACTCAGCTACACTTGTCGATTATATCATTATAAGTGTGTTATAAACATGTGACACCAGATGGCGCTATAGAGAAGTGATCTGTCATGAATAGAATTTTTCATTAAGAGCTTTTATAGCTTTTTTCTATAGCATTTTAAAAAATCCAGCTTAGGTTCTACTTCCTTTGTTGGCAGCCGTATGCCTCTGAATACCAATTGCTGGAAAACACAGGAGGGGAGAGTGCTCAGGTCCTGCTTGCAGGTTTCCCACAGGAATCTGGTTGGACACTGTGAAAACAGGATGCTGGACTAGATGGGCCAATGGCCCCATCCAACTGGGCTCTTTTTTGTTCAAACACCTCCCCATCTTTGTGTTTCTCTGCCTGTATATACCGTATTGGCCTGAATATAAGCCAAACTTTTTCTCCAAATTCCGCCCATGAAAAGTTAAAGTGCGGCTTAAATTCGCAACCTTACAAAAATTGGCTTTTACAATATTGTTGCTGAAACAGACCTATGGTAAAACAGAACAGGTGTGAGTGCCTACAGAATTATAAGGGAGCGGCTTATATTTGAGTATTGCCTTTTTCTCTTTCCCCTCCTTGAATTTTAAAGGTGTGGTTTATAGTCGGGCCAATACGGTAATCTCCAAAGCATAATATATGTAAGTATATCTAAGGCTGTCCATAGCAACCATGGATTTCCTTTGATGTTTTCTGCTGCTACAGCTCCCACCAACAAGGAAGCAAATCACTTTTAAGCACATGTGAATATGTATTGAAATTTGTTTTCTCTCAGTAGCCTGAAACCTCTAATGCTTTCTGAGTGTTGCCTTTGGCTGTTCCATTTTCAATCCACTCCCAGATTAAACATGGTTTGATCCACTTTAATGTGCTAACTCTGCTTCATGGAAGTTCCTTCAGAATTTAATTTCTCCCTTAATAGATTAGAGCTTCTGTGTCCACATAAGCCTTTAATAAAAAAAGGGGGAGATAAGAGTACATACACTACAGATAGTGCCTTGACCTTTACAGAAAGCAAGAGACTACAAAGCAAATTAGGACATTCATTGAGGAGAGGGTTATAAAAGGGAGATCCCATCCACAGAAAAGGTCACATTTTATTATCTATGAAATTAAATACTGTGCTCCATCAACTATTCAATAGCAAAGATTTTTCCAATAAGAGTTTAAGGAAGCAAGTCTGTGCACACTTACCCAGGAGTAAGTCCCATTAGACTCAGTGGAGCTCAGTTCTGGCAACATAAGAAGAGCCCGCCTCACAAGGACCAACAAGATACTTCTGGGAAGCCCACAAGCAGGACATAAAGATAACAGCCCTCTTCCACTCACATTCCCCAACAACTAGCTTAGTGTACACTTAGTGTAGACAGACATAATCTGTCTTTGTTTTCATCACCCAGAACTGATTGGTGTCCCCAGCAAACTTAGCCATCTCCCTGCTCACCTCTTGATTCCAAATGTTCTATGAGTGAGCTGAAAATTCCTCCCAGTTGACTTATTTCCAGGATTTTTTGCATTTCATGGTTAGTAAGGTTGCAATGGGACGCGGGTGGCGCTGTGGGTAAAACCTCAGTGCCTAGGACTTGCTGATCGTAAGGTCGGCGGTTCGAATCCCCGCGGCGGGGTGAGCTCCCGTCGTTTGGTCCCAGCTCCTGCCCACCTAGCAGTTCGAAAGCACCCCTAAGTGCAAGTAGATAAATAGGGACCGCTTTCTAGCAGGAAGGTAAACGGCGTTTCCGTGTGCGGCACTGGTGCTGGCTCGCCAGCTGCAGCTTCGTCATGCTGGCCACGTGACCCGGAAGTGTCTTCGGACAGCGCCGGCTCCCGGCCTCTTAAGCGAGATGAGCGCGCAACCCTAGAGTCGGACACGACTGGCCCATACAGGCAGGGGTACCTTTACCTTTTTTTAAGGTTGCATTTCAGCTGACTGAAGATCTTTAGCTAATATAAATAATAATGCGCTCTCTCTCTCTCTCTCTCTCTCTCTCTCTCTCTCTCTCTCGTCACTATCCAAGTAGATAGTTCCACCAGCACAAGACATTTTACCTGCACAATGGAACTTCTCTACCCTCTCTTCTCATGCTCCATAAATCTTCTCTGGAGGGTTGGAGGAGGGTTGGAGGAACCACTGGGACAGGTTGACATGTCACGCAGTCAGTGGTTAGAATGGGAAAGTTCCATTGTGCAGCTAAAACTTTTTGCACGAGGGATATTATTTAGTTGGATACAGCGTGATAATAATAATGATGATGATGACGATTATGATGAATCAACACAACTAACTTCAATTTTAGACTCTCCTTGAGGTGACACCTATGGGACTGATTTTGGGAGAGTGGCTGTGGAGGCTGTCATTATGACCTCTTGCCCTTCAAATTTTACCACTATACCACTGCCTAGCAGGACTCACAGTCAGGAAGCTTTCTTAGTCCCACTATCTGAAACTCTTTCTTTGCTGATTTTGAACTCAGGGCATTCCGCATGCTGAAAACGGGCTCTGCCATTAAGTCAGGGGTCCTCCCCAGAGGGAATGGGTCTATCTGTTAGTTTCAGTTTCTCTGAGTTTCTCACTGTTCCTAGCTTAAGTTCAGTTCTCGAAATTTCCACATTGATTTAGAAAAAGAAAGCTCTTCTTGAAAATTCAGCAGCTTCCTGCTAAATACACAAGTTTGTATGTCATGTTGACTAACACAATGCATTTCTATGTGCATTTTTGCACACAATACTTTGCTGGAGAATTGCACTGAAAAATTTGGAGAAGCAAGGATTTCAAAGGGTGGCTGTGTTTTAGTTTGCATGTTGTTTCAGAAAGTCTGAATTAGGTAGGTAGGTAGGTTCATGTTTGAATGTGACCTGGATCTAATCTCCCTCCCATCCCAACTTCCTAGTAATATTGAAAGGACAAAAAAACAGTATGTTAGCACTGACATTTATAGATACCACTGCTCTCCCAGAGAGAGCAAAGTATTTCCATTTGATACTCTTTCAGTTAATTTAACCTTCTCTGAAAGATCTAGGAATCATTTCATACTTGTTTTGGATTATTCAAGCGCCAGCCTACATGCATTATGTAGCTCATTGGGAACATAATAATCTTGAGAAAATTAAGCATTAGTGTTGGTTGGCTAGGAAAATTATAGAGGAATAATTTCATTGCATTCATGCCTTAAGTTTGGTCACAGAATGACAGAGATCAACAATATTCCTTCAAGGAACCAAACCCAGTAGAGGGAATTGACCTAAGCTGATGCTAAAGCGCACCATCACAAATCTTGAGCTAGTCACTTAGTGAACCCTGAACAGGACCATCAGCTTGCAGCTGGTTTCCGTGAACTGTAGGTTAAGCTACCTTGCTATTAATAGTCAATATGGCACTAGCTGCAGCTTGAGCTCAAGTAGCTGAACATTGGATCATCCATTCATCACAGTGTTTAAGTTACTGACTTGCACACAGTCAGTAAAACTGTGGAAATGTGT